GCGGCGGCGGCGGCGGCGGCGGCGGCGGCGGAGGCAGGGACCCGGGGCCGGGAGCAGAGGCGCCCTCCTGGGAGCTCCACCGCGGCCGCAAGGCGGGGGCGCCGTCGTTCACCGGCCCATGCTGGGCCCCCGAGCCCCGCGGAGGAGGCGGGACCGTCCTCGGCGGGACAGGTAAGGGGCCGTCTGGGGGCACAGCGGGAACCCAGAGCGAGACACCGAGGCCCGATCGAGCTGGGGAGTGCAGTGGGACCCCTCTCAGGGATGGGGGATCTTCCTCCCTACTGACTGCACCTTGCGCTCCGCAAGAGATCACTGCCAAGTCTATCCCTACCCCTCACCCTACAGACTGGGGATGCTGGCAGGAGCCTGTGGGACTGGGGCCCAGGTAGTCACCTGGACACTCTGACCCCACACCACCAGGCCTTAACCCCAACCTGAGACAGCTCTTAGACACCCTGCCCACAAAGAACGGTAAGGAGAGTATCCCGGACTCCTGTACCCCAGTGCCCACCATGGTTTTGCTCATGAGGGAAATCTGAGCCAGCTTCACTAAGCATCCCTCTCCTCCCCAAGCCTGCTCATCAGGGTGACTGGAGTGGCTGTGGTCTTCCCCTCACCCCACGCTTCAAGATTTCTTTGCCCGGTAATGGCCCTTGGGCCGAGGATGGGCCAGGCCCCTTAGGACTGATTAACCCATTTCTCCAGGGAAGGAAGGAAGGAGGTACCAGAATATACCTTCATTTTGTCCTGTGGCCCCCTTGACTCTAATGGAAGAAGGCTGGTTTTGCCTCATACTGCTTGGTGCATAAGGGCAGAGAGTGGAGGTACCTGAGCCTTGTTTTCTATTATGTGCCCAAATGCTGGTCACCCTAGACAGAGCCTCCATTTGGAGTCTGCCCTCTTTCTGGCAAGAGTGTGCCGAATGAGCTCATTCAGGCCTGCAAAGTGCTTCCAATTCTTCAGAGCAGAGTTCTCTGAGTGGCAGAATGTAGCGATCAAAATAAAACTGCGTAGAGGAAGATTGGCCTATCACTGTGGCTGACCACTGCTTTGTCCCTATCATTTCAACCCAGCACAAATTCTCCACCCCCACCAAGAGAAAGAGCACTAGACTAGGAGTTCTTGGCTGAGCGCTGGCATTTATCAGCTTGAGGCCAGTTACCTGAACTCTCTGAACCTCAGTTTCCTCATCCCTAAAGTGGGGATAAGGTAGCTGTTGTGCCCACCTCAGGGAACTGCCTTGGACTCAGTGAAACAATGTGCCTGATTGAAGGCTTGTCATCTGTGGGTCATCATACCAGGATGAGTTGCTGTCACCGGTTCCATCCACTAGCCAGTCTGGCTGGAAGTAATCTGATTGTTGTTACCCCTACCCCCTTTCTCCCAGCCTGGCCATGGTTTCCTTTGTCTTTGGCCTCCCTGGGGTCCGTGAAACCCAACTTATAAATCTTGAGGAGCCAAAAGGGTTCCCTCCCCCCTTCTCTTTCATCATCACCTATAGAAGATAATATAGGGTGAGAGTCTGACTCACAGTTTTCGTTGTTTTTTCCCCCAAGAATCACAGATCTAAGGAAACAGCTCCTTGAAGGCAAGGATTGTGTTGTTTTCATCTCTTTGCCTCCCTGCACACTTCCCCTCCCCCATAGCACCTGGAAGATAGTAAGGACTCGGTAATTGGGTGTAAAATAAGAGAATGGAGTGTTAAAATATCTCAGAATAAAAGCATTTGATTGGACGTCTGGGAGCCCCATGTTTGGTCCCAGATCTGCCACTGACTCAAGCAAGTTCTTTTCCCTCTGTAGGCTTCATTTTTCTTTTCTGTAAAAGAGGGTTGGACTAGATAAGTTCTAACATTCCTGATGTTCTGGGAGGCTCTCTGATGGCCATCTTGAGACCGCAAATCCCTCAGTTCTTGAACACAGCATACCAGCTTCATTAACCTGGTTTTAAGACTAAGTTAATATCCTTTCAGCAAAGAACTGGATTTTATGAATGGGGTGGAAGGGAGCAATAAGAACCTGAAAAAGCCATTTATGTTTCTGATGTTTCCTTAAGCTCCCCCTCTCTTCTTTATTTTCCCGGGAAGGCCATGAGTGTGTACAGGGTTGCAGAGCTGGGAGGGCCCCTGCCTCCAGGACAAGATTCTAGGAAAGCACCCCCCTCACAACATTCCTTGTGAGTAGCCAAGAGCCAGGAACCCAGTTCTTAGCCATGTCCTCCTAGGGACCTTGCCTGGCTGGATCCCCTCTCCTAAGAAGACTGGAAGAGGGGACAGTCGGGAGAGATCCATCCCTGGGGAGAGCTTTTTTTATATAAAAACAAAATGAGCTCCTCTGACAATTTTCCTCAACTGTGGCAGGCCCAGCCAATATCCAGAAAAACCTCAGCTAATTGGCACTTCTTTAGAGCTGAGTAAGCCATGCCAGTGACCCCCCTGACTTACCCTTTAAGCGCCCCGCCAGGGTGGGGGATCAACCACCACCCCCCACCCCATGTCAGCACTTTCTGGCTCCCAAATGTTGGTGCAGCACTGGAAAAAATCAGCTCTCCAGAATTAACAGACAGTCACTAACCCTCATGACAAAGTAATGGCAACCGCGCAGCACAGCAAGCATAGAGACGGGCTTTATTATCTATAAGACTAGTCTGTGGGGGTGCTGGCCTCCTGCTGGGGCTAGAACAACTCACCACCACCACCCCCACTGTCTGCAGCTGTTTGGGTGGATACCCCACCCCCAGAGTTGTCAGAGTGCAGGGCATCTCTGGTCACAAGGTAGACACATCTGGCTCCTCTCTCAACCAGGGAGAACTACCCACTGGCTACTCCTTGTGTTCCCCACCTGCCAACTTCCTGCTGGGGGTCCTACTTGACCCCTTCTGCAACACCTCAAAAGGAAGAAGAGATTAGGTGATCCTGGTTATCTGGGGTCAGGGTGGGGTGGGGAGAATCTAAAGAAGAGGAATAGATAAATGTAACATGGTCATTAAGAAATGAAGTGTGTATGTGTGTGTGTGTGTGTGTGTGTGTGAGAAAGAAAGAAAGAAAGAAAGAAAGAAAGAAAGAAAGAAAGAAAGAAAGAAAGAAGAGAGAGATTGAAACATTGAAATATACCCATGCAGGTCCCTTCTGCTGGGCGGCACACATATGACAGAAGCAGAGAATAAAATATCTAGAGACATCTGCACATTATTAATTATCGTCAAGTTCAAAGGCCAATTCATCCATGAATCCTAGAGGGACTTCCAGTCCCAAAGTACACCACTCCACGGAGAAAGTAGAAGAAGCATCCGATTTCTTTAAACCTTTGCCATTTTCTAACCCCCTTTTCTTCTCAGAGGCTTGGTGGGCATCCTGCTGGAATAAGGTCCCCCCTGCTGCAAGGTGGGGGGACAATAAAGACTAATCTCATCCCTAATCTCAACCCTGCTCTTTGTATTCAGTTTCTCTCTTCTCTTTGCTCCTCCTTTATTCTCTCTTCTCCCTCCTTCCTGCAGCTGCCACCAGCACCCACCACCCCCTTCCCTCAAGCAAACCAAGCAGGGAGTGAGGACCTGATGCTCTACCTCTCCTCTCTGTTAGGTGTGTTATCTTCTGCCATTAGATGTACTATTTGCTTCTAAGTGGTTGGGAACAAGCTGCTTCAGTGAGGAGACAGGTTGTTTCAGCAAGAATAAAGATTTGATTCCTGCTTGAAAATGGACTAATTTGAGTAGTGGTGCCGCTGTCCCAATCCTCCCGGTAATTTTCATCTTTGTTAGCCACAAATCCATCCCCAAGCCAATGAATTATGCTCTGAGGGGAAGCCCAGGTTGGCAGCAGATAGAAAATAAGGTAGACCGATGTCTCTGGAAGTGCCTAGGAAGCCTCCCCTGGGAACTGAGAAGTGTTCCAGCCATCCTATCTCTCTTTCCTGGGTTCCCTCCTTCACCCTCTCCTCTCCTCTCCTCTCCTCTGCCCTGCTCTTCTTCATAGCTCCATTGATAATTCTCAAGTCTCTCTCTAGCCCTGACTATGACCCAGGGATTCAACTGCATACATCTAACTGTCAGGTGGATTTTCTGCCCTAGCATCCCAAGACCCAACTCATCCACTTCTCCTTCCTATCCTGCTCTTCCTTATTGTGTTAGTGTGTGTGTGTGTGTGTGTGTGTGTGTGTGTGTGTGTGTGTGTGTGTTTCATTTTACTGGATTGGTACTTGGTGGGCCTTTTTAATATAAATATTCTTTTTTGTTTTTTCAGCTCAGGAACCACTTCCTGTTTCTGTTCCTTTCATTGTCATTCCCATCCAGTCTCTGCTGTGTCTTTCTGAAATTTCTACTAGATGGATGTTGAACCTCTGGGACTCTCCTCCATGTCTCTTACCTTTCTTTCATATGTTCCATCTTCTTGTCTTTTTGCTCTATGTCTTGGGATATTTCATTAACTTATTCTTTCACATTAAAAAGTTAATCTTTAACTGTGTCCATTCTGTTATCCAGTCTCTCCATTAAATTTTTTAAAGTTGTGTTTATTTAAGTAATCTCTACACTTAACATGGGGGTCGAACTCACAACCCCAATGTCAAGAGTCACATGCTCTTCTGACTGAGCCAGCCAAACACCCCACTTTATTAAATTTTTTGAAAATTTAGACAGTTATTTTCATTTTCCAAAACACTTTCATGTTCTTTGCTCTTTTTTCATAGCAGGCTGCTCTCATTTTATGGATACAATGTCCTCTTTTTTTTTCTCCCAGGGGATATGAATTGAAAAAAATTTAGAGATCTCTTCTATAAGTTGAATGATTTCAATCTTACTGGGTCAATTGTTCTATTTGTGTATTTAATCCTTCTCTTTTATTTTCATAGAGTTGTTCTTCATTATCCTTTGGTGTCCACTCAGACTTACGAATAAAGGAAGGTATTGACTAGCATAGGCAACTGGTACGGATTTCCTCTGAAGTTGGGTAAGTTTGTTTCCCTAACAGACGTCCCCCTTGAATGAGACTTATTCTTACTTCTTATTCTGTTTGGGGCTGCAAGTTTCTCAACACTGATTTCCTCACCAAAGAATTTCATTTGCTCTTTATCTTCCAGAAATTCCTCAGTGTTTCTGTTCCACTGATACCATTTTTTGTTGTTTTCCAATTTTGTTATGATTTCATTCTTTTAGAAATATATGCTTTATCACTTTAATAGAATCTGAAGGAGAAGAGGTCATCACTAGTGCTCAGGCTGACCTCTTTTTTAAAAAAATTTTTAATGTCTATTTATTTTTGAGACAGAGACAGAGCTCGAGCAGAGGAGAGGCAGAGAGAGAGAGACAGACAGACAGAATCCAAAGCAGGCTCCAAGCTGTTAGCACAGAGCTGGATGTGGGGCTCAAATTCACCAGCCATGAGATCACAACCTGAGCTGCAGTCGGACGCTTAACTGACTAAGCCACCCAGACACCCCTCAGGCTGCCTTCTTGAACCAGCGATCTTTCCCCTGGATTTTCTGTCTCAGCTGGTGGCCTCACCTTCTACTTAATTGACAAAACCAGAAGGCTGGGAGTCATTCTAGGCTCCTCCCTCTCCCTCACTTCTAGTTAGCCACAAAGTTCCGTTCATTCAGCCTCCTGACTCCTTCTTGGTTATGGCTCTTCATTTCCATCCATTTTGCCACAGATCAGGGTTAGGTCCCCATCCTCTCCTGCCTGCATTTTTGTACTCATCTCTTCATGGGACTCTTAGCCGCCATTCTCATTCACCTCCCGTGCTTTGTATCCACTGCAGCCAGCCAGAGAGCTTTAAAACTGGGTATGACCATGTCACTTTCTTGCTACCACTTTCATTGGCTCCCCACTTCCCACAGAAGAGAGCTTTTCTGCATGGAATTCAAGGCCTTCCCACCTCTCCTGTCTTATTCCACCAACACCAAACCTCCCTGGCTTCCCCTCCTTTCCACTACCTCATGCTTTTGTGCTGGTTCCTCAGCTGGAAATGCCCTTCTCTCATTGTCTCACCTGGATGACTCAGATTCTTCCTTGAAGATTCAACTCAGGGGTACCTGGGAGGCTTAGTCTGTTAAGCGTCTGTCTCTTGATTTTGGTTCAGGTCATGATCTCACGGTTCGTGGGTTTGAGCCCCGCATCGAGCTCTGTGCGGACGGTGCAGAGCCTGCTTGGGATTCTCTATCTCCCTCTCTCTGCCCCTCCCCTGCTCGCTCACTTTCTTTCTCTCTCTCTCAAAAAATAAATAAACTAAAAAAAAAAAAAGATTCAATTCATATGTCACATGCTTTGAAAGCCTCTTCTTAATTTCTGACATTGCCTCCTCTCCCATCCCAGGACAGGAGTCCCTTATCAGTGTACGTCTAGCACTTGGTCGTATTTAGCACAACTCACTCCATTGTATTGAAATTTCGTATTTGCTAGTTGTATTCCCCCTCAAAGCCGATACCATTTCTTGTTTATTCTTGCATCCCAAGAACTGGTCTGAATTAACTGCTCAAGAAATTATGCAGATATGCTCCACCCACCCCCGATCCTAGAAAGTCCTTTCTTATGGGGGAGCCTTAGCACACCTAGCTCACTCATTCACTGATTCACTCATTTATCCATGAGATCAACTGTTTACTGAGTGCCTAGTATACGCCAGGCAAGGTGCTGCACGGATGAGGAAGATACAGTCCCCACCCTCTTGAAGTTCACAATCTGGTGAGAGAGAAAGACGCTAATCAACAAATCACACATATAGAAAAAGACTGTGCTAAGCTCTTTGAGAGGAGGAATTGGAGCCTGGAGAGCAGATAAACAAGGAGCCTAAATCTAGACTGAGGATGTAGGGACATCTCCCTGAGGAAGGGGCTTTTGAGCTGAGAGCTGAAGGATCCTGATGTGAGTAGAGACAATGCTCCTGAGAAACGCGACTGTGAAGTGAGAGAGAGGACAGGGGCTGTCGGAGGGAAATGGCACTGAGGAAAGGCATTCCAGTTATCTGTCACTGCCTAAGCACCCCCAAAACTTAGTGGCTACAACTAAAGACATTTTACTCTACCTCATGACCTTGAGGGTCAGAAATCCATGCAGGGTTGAGCTGTGCGATTACTCCACTCCACATGGCAGGGACAGAGGTCACGCCGTGGTATTTGGCTGACAGATGGGCTGGTTTGAAGCGTCCAAGATGGCTTCACTCACATGTCTAACATCTTGGCAAGACTGGAAGGCTTGGCTCAGCAGGTTCCATCCACCAGAGCTTCTACACACATGACCTTCCAGCAGGGCAACCTCAGAGTAGTCCAGCTTCAGACAGGGTGGCTCAGGGTTGGGGGAGTGAGTCTTTCAGTGAGCAAAGGATGCATGGCCTTTTATAACCTGGCCTCTGAAGTCACACAGCATCACCTTTGCTGTGCTCTGTGGTTGAAGCAGTCACAAGCCCACTCAGATTAGAGAGGGGGTCTGTATCCCTCCTCTCGAAGGGAGGAGTATCAAAGTATTTACAGCTGGGTTTTGCAATCATCACAATTGATTTCTTTTTTAAGCGAGAGAGACTACAATATGTTTAAGTGCCATTAGGAAGGATCAGGAGTGAGGAGCAGCTGAAAACAGGGAAAAAAGGATAATCAATTGTGTTAGCTCCCTGAAGAGGCAAACTGAAGCAAAGAAAGCCAAGTTCTCATTTTCCCTCGATTCTGATTCTGCTGGCCTCGCCCTCCTCCCCACCCAGACCCCTGGCTTTCTCTCTCCACTGTCAGGTGCAGCAAGCTGCAGCCAAGACTCTAGACCAGAGATCATCAAATCCAGCCTCAAGCCATCTGCAAACAACCACCGTAGCCACAGCACTTCACAATTTGCAGTATGGTTTACACATTATCTGACAAGGGGATGATCTAGCACCCAATCGTAAAAATTTCACCTTTTCCCTGGATTTTAATCATTTATATTTAATCCTCTGCCTTGCCAAGAAGATCTTGCTTTTATCTTTCGGTTTAGAAGCAATCACTCTTGCTGTGCCAAGAGATAGTGGCCAACAGCTGAACGTCCTCACAATGAGTCTGTATCTATATGAACCCAGACCTTAAGGTTATCTGGGGAACCACCCCTGGGCTGCTAACTCACCCCCCATCTCCTAATCTTTTCACGAAGTTCCCATTTCCCATTCCCTTCACTGAGGCCCTCAGTTTTAACCTATTGGAGACCAAGTCTTCGACACTGTCACACCCACACTATTTATCACGGCCCTCGGCACACAAGTAGGCTCTGAAAGGCACAGTTAAGTGAGAGCCCAGGCTTTGGATTCAATGAAACTTGGGTTCAATTCCAGTCTCCATCACTGTTTAATCTTGGACAAGTTACTTGACCTGTCTGAGCCTCAGTTTATCTGAAAAATGGGAAATAATCACAACCAGCCCCACTGGTGGTTGTATGGTTTTGAGATGAAGCATAGGAAACACCTAGCTCATGTGGGGTTGCAGTATATCATAGCTGTTATTTTTTTGTGTATTTATTTATCTTGAGAGAGAGAGAATCCCAAGCAGGCCCCGTGCTATCAGCGCAGAGCCTGATGCGGGGCTCGAACTCACGAACCGTGAGATCACGCCCTGAGCCGAAACCAAGAGTCGGGCGCTTAACCAAATGAGCCACCCAGGCGCCCCTACTATTCTTATAGTGACTATTAGAGCAGCGGTTCTCAACGTTTATTTATTTTTGGGGACAGAGAGAGACAGAGCATGAACGGGGGAGGGGCAGAGAGAGAGGGACACACAGAATCGGAAACAGGCTCCAGGCTCTGAGCCATCAGCCCAGAGCCTGATGCGGGGCTCGAACTCACGGACCGTGAGATCGTGACCTGGCTGAAGTCGGACGCTTAACCGACTGCACCACCCAGGCGCCCCTAGAGCAGCGGTTCTCTAAGTGTGATCCCTGGACCAGCAGCATCGACACCACCTGGGAACTTGTTAGAGATGCAAATTCTCAGGCCTATTTCGGAATCATAAACGGTGAGGGTGGAGCCCAGCAGCCTGGGCCAAGTCGTGCAGGTGATGTTAGTGCACACCGATGACCGGAACCGCTGCCCCGGGCAACTTCTGCTTCAGAGGCTGCATGTAGGTCACCTTAATCCAGTTAGGCGGGAGCAGATTCAAAGCCTGGTTTCTGTGCCTGTAAAGGCTGCTCTGTTTTTGGTTTGCTCCTGCTCCTTGGGGTTACCCCATAAGAAGTCCCAGTTGAAAACCAGGGGTGTTTCCTGGGGCCCCTCCTTAATAGGCCCTGAACTCCCATCCCCTCCCCGCCTCGGCCTCTGATACTGCTGGAGGGGGAAAGGGGCACCAAGGGTCACACTCACCTCCCCGTGTTTCTTTTTCCTCTAGGATCTTGGCAACTTGACCCCTCAAGTTCTTGCTCCCTTGGTGATTCTTTGATGCCTTCGTATCTTTCCCTAGTTTTTCTAACTGTTCTTGGCAATTGGGTGTGACATAGGTTACACTGCCACTTCTTTCCTAGAAGAGGAAGCCCCCTGTCCAGCTGTGACTCTCCCACTAGAAATGATAGGGTCAGATGAGCTCTTAGAGCAGTTCGGTTCCTGGCACGTGATGAAAAGCTCAATAAATGTTAAGTTATTGTTCTTCCTCTCCCAATAGAATCTCAGGGTCGTATTGAGCTGAGCTATTAAAAATGAACCCCTTGTACCCTTCCACACGTTTTATAAATAAGCAAACTGATGTTACACCATGTAATTGGACTCCAGAACAATCAGACTCTAGTGGAGGCTGTAATTGGATCCCAGTGGATTCCCGTATGGTGTCCTGTCCCCAGTCTGGAGGTGGCGTTGTGCTCTCGGTCTTTAAATCAGGAAGTGGAAAACATTAGGGCCCAGCTCAGTTCTCAGCTCCAAAGGAAACAAGCCGGGGGCTGTGGCCTCCCAGGTCCTCCCCTCCCTCTCCTTTTGTGGGGCCTGGACCTCTTGCCCAACTGTACAATCTAGAGCAATCTCCTTAGCTTCAGAATTGCAGACATCTCGAGGCGCGCGGGTGGCTCAGTTAAGCGTCCAACTTCAGCTCAGGTCATGATCTCACAGTCCATGGGTTCGAGCATCACGTCGGTCTCTGTGCTGACAGCTCAGAGCCTAGAGCCCGCTTCGGATGCTGTGTCTCCCTCTCTCTCTCTGCCCCTTCCTTGCTCATGATCTGTCTCTCTCGCTCTCGCTCTCTCTCAAAAAAACCATTAAAAATCATTAAAAAAAAAGAAAAGAATTGCAGACATCTCATGTCTTCCCTCTGGAGCAGAATGCACACACGTGTGCACATGTGTGCACATGTCACACACACACGCAGAGGCAAGCTCACCAGCAAGTAAGCAGACATACAGTACTGTCTATACAGCAGGCACACACAGCCCACATGAGCCCCAGGCAGAAGTGGAGATGAAAATTATCCTCTGAATACTGGTCCTTTACTCCAAAGAACAGGAAGAGGTAGCCCTCAGCAACAGGCCAAAATGTCAGGCAAGGCTAAGGATAGAGAAGCCTGGGCCTGGAGACCTGCCACCTCCTCCTTCTGGCCAGGGCTCAGTGCTGGGTCCCCAGGATCAGTTTAGCGGACTCCCATGTGGCCCGAGCAGGTTTCGGGGGTGAACGTGACCTGCTAAAGAACTGTGACCCTTGGCTGGACTGTGAGTAGGTGCTGTAGCCCATAACCTGGTTGCTTTATGGAGGCGGAGGGTGTGTGTGTGTGTGTGTGTGTGTGTGTGTCTATCTGTGTCAGGGCAGGCTTTGACACTGTGCTCAGCCTTTACACCCAGAAGGAACCCCCAAACCTGGCAAGGCTTAAAACCACTTTTAGATAATTCGGCCCGGAAGAAATCTGCGCACTCAATTTTTTTCTGATTTAAAAGAAGTACATGCTCAATGTAAAAAATAAATATGGGAAACAGAAAAAAATGGTGTAAAAAAGGCAAATGAAAAGCACCTGTGCGCCCACCCCTGGCGATAATCACTGTTGACGTTTTGGCAGAGTTAAGATTGCAGGCACATAGCATTTTCTTTTCTTCCCTCTCACTGAATCCGCAATGAGCATTTTCTCATGTCATTCCTCTTTGTAAACCTGTTCGAAGGCCTTGTACCACTGGATTGTTGTACCACAATTTATTTAACTTGTGCCTGATTGTTGGACACTCGGGTGGCTTTCAGTTTGTCCCTGTTGTGCAAACCCAGGATCATACATCTTTGTACATGAAGCCGAGAAGCCCCTGCCCAGAGGCACAGTGTGGTGGAGGAGGGTGTAATCCAGGAAAGGCTTCGTGGCTTGGGTTTCAGTAGCTCAGCTGGGTGCACTTTGACCAAGAGAGGATGGCTGGCAAGAACAGGGGAATGAGCTGGGACCCAGCTGCCCCTTCCTGTCCTGGACACGTGCCCTGCAAGTGCCCCTACAGTCTCCAGAGCTCTGGGGCCTGATTCCTGGCCACAAGGATCCTTCCTTTTCTTCTGGGGGGATCGGACAGGTGATTGCCAAGGCCTCCTATGCCTCCTTCAGGACATAGGGCAGGGTGACTTTGATGCATTAGTCTGCTGTGAGGGCCCTGGGGCCGGTCCTCCCCACCACACCCTGCCAAAAGACGCCCACATACCTCTGCCTACGCAGATGACAACAGGGACCCTTGAGGCTGTAAGCAGAGGGGGCGTTAATTAAGACCAGCCAGAGGAGAGGCCGGGGACTTTTGGGAGCCATGTCCTAGAATCCCATAGGGTGGGCAAGATGGAGGGCAGGACCAGGGCTGTGGCGGCCCAGGGGGAGTTGGGAAGCCACGGGATGGTGCTACGGCTCCACTGTGCATCTGACAAGGAGATGCCTTGCCTTCCCTTTGCTTCCTTCAATGTGCTCGAGGCGCCATGATAGGGAAGGTGGTACGTCACTGGATTCTGAGCGTGCTCATCTATCCCTGAGTCTTGACAGAGGACAGGGAGTGGGGGAGCTGACTTCTGCAGGGCTCCTTGAGGCTATGGGCTCATGGAGAGCTAGTGCCACCATCAGCGATCATTTAATCCAGCCCCTCTTATTGCAGATAGGGAAACCGAGGTGCCAGATCAGGAAGCTAATGGGGGCGAATCAGAATGGAATCCCAGTGTACCTGACTCCCAAACCCATGAGCCTTATGCTCCCGTGCCCTTCAATTGTACATCTGCACGTCACATCTGCTGGTGTGGGGGAGGCTCCGACAAGGACTCAAAAACTGCCCTCAGGGGTCAGAAGAGACCAGTCCCGCTGGGAATCTGCCCAGAGGAGCCCAGGCACAAGCCTAGTCCAGCAAGCTTGGGTACTCCAAGCTCCCCACCTGCAGGAAGGAACCCGTCCACATATTATAGTCCCAGGGGCTCCCTGCATTTTGATCCATAGAGAGGAAAGAAGAGGGAGAAGTAGTGAGACCCTGGCATTTATGAGCTCCGCCCCTCCCAAGAACTGCTGTCCCATCTCTGCTTGGGGAGAAACTCCTTCCACAGCTGGGTGACAGCCCAAATGGAACTTGTAACTGCTTAATGTGCCAACAGAGCCCCCAGGTGTAGGGCAGCCCAGCACCATCCGTGCCCTCCCTGGGTGAAGAGTTGGGCACTCAGGCCACACGCCGTTCTTTGGGTCCTTCCAGGATTCTGTTAGACATTCTGGGAGCCCCAGCCCCAGAGGTCACACTTCTCCGGGCTCAGAGCCTCTGAGACATGGCCAGGATAGCCTTCTCTTGCTCCTTTGCCTCCAGGCAGGCAACAGCCCTCACTCCTCCCTCACAGCAGGCCAGCCAAGGGACCCTGGCCCCCCATGGACCCACCCTCAATGCCTCCCCCTGGTCTTGCCTGGGCCTCCCCTGCCCCTCACTCTGTCCCATTCCCCATTATTCCTGGGGCCATGCTCTGTCTTCAGGTTTCCCAAAAACCAACTTTCTAGAATCGAACCACTTCTCTGGGGGAAGAAAGAGAAATGGCCAGGCTCTGGCTGTGAATTCTTTTTTTATTTTTATTTTTTTAACGTTTCTTCATTTGTTGATAGAGAGAGACAGAGTGTGAGTGGGCAAGGGGCAGAGAGAGAGGGGGACACAGAATCCGAACTGACAGCACAGAGCCCGGCGCGGGGCTTCAACGCACAGACCGTGAGATCACACGTGACCTGAGCCAAAGTCAGACACCCAACCGACCGAGCCACCCAGGCACCCCTCTGGCTGTGAATTCTTGATAGGAGGTGGGAGTGGAGAAGGGGCCTAGACAAATCTTCCCTGGGGGCACAATTCCCTCTCCACACTTGTCCCTTTACCATCAGGCCAGAAATGACCTAGGGTGGCACAGAAGCCCCTCCTACTTACAACGTACAATGACGCATCAGCCATCTCTTTGGATCCTCAGAACACCCTTGTGGGTTGGGGAGGAATTATCATCTGCACTTTACAGATGAAGAAACCCAGAAGGGCATGATTATTTGCCCAAAGTATCAAGGCCAAGACTGACTCTCCGATCTTCAGATTATAAATCCAGGGCAAGACATGACCCTCTCACCCTTCAGCATCATGATGGGGCTGGGAGGGAGAGAGTAGGGTCCCTGGGGGGGCCTGCCCCCTTTCTCCATACCCCACTTGTACATGCCACACCCCGGCATGTGTGTAGGCTTTGCTGTAAACACATTTATAGGCTGCCTTTCCCTCCTTCAATCAACCCTGAGCACCTACTGTGTGTCCTTCCCAGGTGGGCATCTACACTCTAGCCCATGAGTGTGTCTACGCTTCAAGCTGGAATGTGCAAGTCCAGACTTTAGTGCTCCAGAGGCCCTGCCTTAGATCCCACAGGACTTCCCAAAGCCACAACTAACCTTAGAGGGGAGATAAGTCTAAGGAGCGTCCCCTTAAGACCATAACTGGAGAGAAGCATCCTCCTCTGAGAAGAATCGACAGCAATTAGCACGTGGCCTATGCTGAGCTCTGAGCGAAGGGTGGTCCCATCCAACCCTACAACAAATCTTCCTCAATCCAGTATCCCACCGGCCACCAAGTCCTGCCATTATCTCCCAAGGCCCCTCCCCTTCTCTGCATCTCCTCCCATTGAGTCCCAGCTGTCCTCAGCTTACCTGAAGCCATGGCAAAGCCTCCTATCGGTGTCACAATGAGCTCAGCCCTCTCCAAGACACTCTCCCCACACAGCCATGGGAAGCTTCTGGACCCAAACCCTATCCTATCGCTCCTGCCAAGACCCCTGAAGCCCCCTTAGAACTAAACAGGGCTGCGTGGTCTGGCCACACACCCCATCTCACCCCTCCCTCTCTACCCTGAGAGGCACCAGCCTTCTCCCAGGCTCTCAGAGCGAACATCCCTTATCGAGGCCTCTGCATGAAATGTGTTCCCCTCCCCTTGCCTTGCCAACTGGTCCTCCTCCTTCTATCTCAGCTCCCAAGCCTTCCCTGTACCTTTGTGTCCGTTCCGTGCCTTGCACGTTCTTACGCCCCTTGCTGTCCTTCCCCTTCAGGGCAGGTGCCTTCTCCGCCACCGTGAGCTCCGTGAAGACAGTGCATCCTCCTCCCTCTCTCTGCTCCCTGCCTTTCTCACCTTCATGTCCCCAGTATCTGTACAGTGCCTGGTGGGGAGCTGATGCTCAACCGATAAGTGTGGACAGGATAAATGAATGAACCAACTCTATGAGGTGAGTACTGTGGCTACACCCAATTTGTAGACTACGAAAAGGAAACTCTGAGAAGCTCAGTGGCCATCTCAAGGTCCCACAGCTGGCCAGTGGTAAAGGCAGGGTCCGAGGGCCTGAGTTCTTAAACATTTCCCGTCCTGCATCCAGCGCCCCGGACTCAGCATCTATCTGTCTTGCTCGCCCATCAGGCCCTCTGAGGACAGCTCAGCTGGCCCAGGCTCCCCTCCCTGGAGCTGCCCCCAGAACCATGGAGAGTCTGAGTGAACTGCAGAACCCTTTGCTGCCTCGGAGCCCCGCCCCCCTCCATGGCCCTTACCCCTACCCTGAGGCTTCGCCCAGCTGGTCATGCGAGGAGAAGCTCTACTCCTACCTCCTGGGTGGTGCTGGCTCTGCTCGCACCCATCAGCTCCTGGACCCAGGATCCCTGCAGCTGGCCGTGGAGGCCTGGTACAGGCCCACCTGCCTCCTGGGGAGGGACAAGGTCAAGGAAGCCAGGGCAAACAGCTGTGAGACCAGCTTCACAGAGAACAGGGAGCCCCAGGCGGGGCCTACGCTGCGGTCCACAGAACCTGGCCAAGCAGAAGAGGATGTCACCATCCAGACTGTGTCCTACGGGGTTCAAGAGGAGCAGCAGGGCCAGGAGAATGACCAGGAGGAGGAGGAGGAGGTGAGTGGCTGTGTTTGAAATGCAGATTCCCAGGCCAGCCTCTCGGTGTTGAGATTCAGTGGGCCTGGCCTGGGGCCCAGGAATCTATGTTTCTGGCACAGATTCTGTCCATACTTTGAGAAACACAAACTTGGGTTGATGACTTAATTTTTTTACGTTTATTTATTTATTGTGAGAGAGAGACAGCGTGAGTGGGGGTGGGGCAGAGGGGAGAGAGAGAGAGAGAAAGAGAGAGAATGAACCCCAAGCAGGCTCCATACTGTCAGTGCAGAGCCCAGCGTGGGGCCCAAACTCACAAACTGCAAGATGTTGACCTGAGCTAAAGTCAGACACAACCAACCAAGCTACCCAGGTGCTCCAATGGCTTAATTTTGTAATAGCATTTATCATTCTTGTTTTCTTTTTTTTTTTTAATTTTTTTCTTTTTTTTAATTTAATGTTTATTTATTTTTGAGACAGAGAGAGACAAAGCATGAACGGGGGAGGGTCAGAGAGAGGGAGACACAGAATCTGAAACAGGCTCCAGGCTCTGAGCTGTCAGCACAGAGCCCGACGCGGGGCTCGAACTCACGGACCGTGAGATCATGACCTGAGCTGAAGTCAGACGCTTAACCGACTGAGCCACCCAGGCGCCCCTATCATTCTTGTTTTCTTAATTACATAAGCAATTTAAAAATACAGAAAACCGCTGGAAGAGAACATTATTTTAGTCGATGATGTTCTAGTCTTTTTTTGTTCAATCTTTTTCTCCCACCCTACTCCCCCCAGAAAGATCTTGCTGCACATGGTTTTATAACCAGATTTTCCCCTCTAAGCACCATATCTCAGTATAGCTGCACGTAATTTAATATTTGTCTACGAGGTGATTTTTAAGGGTTTCCTGGTATCCCATTGTATGTTCTTCCTCCACTTATTAACTCAATCTCCTGGCCACTGGGCGTTGAGACTTTCTCCTCTTTCCCAATTACTGTCCGATGATACACAAGCCTGCACACTGACACTTGTATTCTTTCTTTGTATGCTTGTGCTAATTCCAAAGGAGGGAATCAGTGGGCCACAGTTCAGGCTTTGGGTAGAGCGGGCCGAGCCCAACCTACACTCCCCCCCCGCAGCAGATGACACTACCTGTGGCCCCCCATCGTTGCCACTGGTGATCCTGGGCCCGGTGGCAAAAGCCCACCCGTGTTTTGCAGAGTGATGTGACGTCGACAGACAGTGAAAGTGAAGACAACTTCGTGGCGCTGCCGCCCAGGGATCACCTGGGCCTTACTATCTTCTCCATGCTCTGCTGTTTCTGGCCCCTGGGCATCGCTGCCTTCTACTTCTCCCAGGGGGTAAGAGCACGAGGGGCCCAGGGCATCTGCTCCTGCTCCCTCCCTCCACTGGAGGGCTTGACCCTCCATGCGCAGGACCGGGTCAGAGCCCCCACAGGCTGGGGCTGGGTTCCCAACCGTGGGGACACCCCTTTCACCAGCACCTCTCTCTCCCTAGACCAGCAAGGCCATCTCCAAGGGAGACTTCCGCCTGGCCAGCACCACCTCCCGCAGGGCCCTCTTCTTGGCCACACTCTCCATCGCCGTGGGCGCCGGTCTCTATGTGGCCGTGGTGGTGGCTCTGGCAGCTTACATGTCCCAGAATGGCCATGGCTAGTAGCCAGCAGGGCCTGGCATCCTGGCTCCCCTGCTCCGCCTGAGGAGGCAGTGAGGCTTGGGGTTGCAGACTCTCTGGAGAGCCCCGGCCCCTGAAGACAACCCACGATCCTGGCTTGTTGTGGGGAGGCCTCCCAGGCTGCAGCCTGCAGGGCTTCACTGTCACTTCTTGTAAGACACCATAGAGTCTAGATAGAGAAGAAGAGTCTCAGGCACGTAAGCTCTGCACCCAAGGCAGGGTCTTAGAGCTTCCTTGCGCAGGAACGAAAGACAGATGTAATGACAGAGGTCCTGCAATATTGCCAGACTACTTAGGCCTCCCTGCTCCACCCCAGGTCCTCACCTCCATCACCCTTTTCTGGGCTCCTCCTGGGAGGTCTTGAGCTAATACTACCCCAGAGAGTGTCCTTAGCACACCAGTCACTGAGCACAGGGCCCTAGATCCAGCCCTGTGGGAAAGCAGCAAGGAGAGACCCTGGGGAGTCATGAGTGTAAATGAGGGGCAGGATAGAGGACCGGCATGGCTGCTGGGCAGCCCAGCAGTGTTCAGAAGGCTTCCTGGAGGAGGTGTTCCTTGAGCAAGGTCTAGAGGGATGAGGAGAATTTATCTAGATTTGTTTCCCCATAACCCTTCGTATTCATGAACAGGGACATGGCAGGAGTCTCCCAAACTATTTGGATTATGCCTAGAGCATCTGGGCTGGAGCCAAACTACAGCCATTTTTGAGGACCCCACCACCTCGGAGAAGAAGGTTAGGCAACATGTCTCTCAAAGACCAGTGATGTTTTCCCACCTCTGAATGCAGGGGGTCAGCCGTCTTCACTGACGTCCCTAACCAGGGCTGCTCTCAACACCTCCAGCCACTAGGGAACATCCAGAATTTTAGAGGCAGCCAGGCAGCTGGGGGGGGGGGGGGGGGCAGTATATTGGGAGGGCAGGCCTGTCCAGGCTCAAGCAAAGGACCCAACTGTGCAGGATCTGGGGACTTGGTCATTCCCAGGCTGCATCCAGAGCCCAGGGCTGTGGATCGACCACTGACCCACCTTGTCCCATCACCCTCCCCAACCAGGCATTGCCTCACCCTCCACTCCCCGCATCCCCTGAAGTCCCACAGGCCCAGGATCAGTGGTTTTAATATCCCCCTATTGTATATATTTATCCTTGTAATAAACATTTCTGTAACACTGGTGCCCTCTGGGCCTCTTCGTGTCCTTGCCTGCCTCCATCTTTGCCTGCAGCCCACCGTCCTCCAAGACTGACCTCCAGCTGCTTGTGTGCTGCCCTGGGCCCTCAGCAGTCTTCTCAAGAAGGTCTCGGGAGGAGGGGTGGCCAGAGTACCCACCCACCCCACCACTGCTCTGCTCAGGGTAGCCTGGATGTAGGGTGATGGCGTGCACTTGACTCCAAGCAGGACAAGACAAGGTCCGTGCCTGAAGAAAAATCCCTTCTAGGTCAAGAGCTTGCAGGTGACTAAGGCTCCACTGAGCTGCCTGTAGCTATTGCCCCCGCCCGAGACCCCCAGGAGCCTGCCTGGGCCAGCAAAGGGACCAGCCTGGCATCTAGATCACCTTGCATGGAGGGCCCTGGGGGAGGTGGGACAGGCACACCCACACCTGTATGCCCTCCCGGCAAGACACAGCTCTGCTCTCTTGCACACACACATGCTGCGTGGGCTGGATGCCCCGGAGACAGAGATTAGCACCAGATGTATATTAGGGGCTGCTCTTGGGATATCATTTGAGGAAGGGAGGAGGAGGCAGATCTGGGCAGGGGGAGGTGAGACTGTGAGGCAGGCCTGAACGCGGTGGGGTCTGGAGCCAGGATACCCTTCAGAGTTGACCCAAGTTGGGACAAAGGGCCAGGCCTTTATACCCCCCCCCCCCCCACAGCAAACAGTCATTGGGTGTGGGCCATCCAAAAAAGGAGAGAGGCCTAGGGTGAGGAGGCTTTCTCCAGCTGGGGAAGCCCCCCACGGCGGCTTGGCCTGAGGCTGTTTGCCACGCACCTCCAATGGCTAGAGGACCAAGCCTGTCCTTCCTGCAGCTCCCCCCACCTCTGCAGCGGCCCCCGCCACACCGGCCACACCCACCACACGGCAACAGACCCGGCGGCGGTGTCACCTAGCACCACTCAGCATTTACCTCCACACATTGAAGGCTGCTCCCTGAGAACTCTGCAGCTCCAGGCCAAGGACAGGCCAAAGTGCCAGAGCCAACAGCCCTGTCAGGAGGCTTCAATCAGTGATGATGGGAGCTGGTGGACAGATAACCCCGACTCTCTGCCCTCTGGCTGGGAGAAACCAAGCCATGTCCTACACTTGCCCACGGCAGCATTTCGCTGGAGACCACAGCCCTCACTGGCCACCTTCCTCCCCCCACCTTCTTCCTCACTGCCCTGCTTTGCTATCTGCGGCCATCTACGTGCAATTGAATCCTTGTGTCTGGGTCGGCTTATGGGGGGGGACACAAACCAAAGCACATGTATGCGTGTGTGTGGGACATACATGTAGCACACCCGTGCACAGGCAGGCACATGCACGTATGTGCACACACATACAGGTAGGCACAGGTGTGCAGCCATGCACACACACACACACACACAGGTACAGCCCACACGTGCACAAATATGCAGGCCCACACTCACAGGTGCACACACACAGGTAAGGGGTAAAGGAGACGTGGCGGCCAAGGAGTCTCATCTGGCCCTGCCCGCTGTGCAGTCTCACCCCGTCGCCAGCCTGGCCAGGCCCCAGAATGGGCAGTGGGCAGCACACACGGGCAGTCCAGGCCCCTGTCTCACAGCCCAGATGATCCCCACCTCCTTCCTAGCCCCCCAGAATGCTGCCTTCAGGCCTTGAGACAGGGGAGAAGAAGCCAGATATCTTATGATCACCTGCTCCTCCTCCTTTTTACCCCCTCCCTTACCCCAGAAGCAAATTCAGACTCTGCAGGAGAAAATGGAATCAGAAACGGAGCCCCCAGGGGCTCCCCTCCCACACAGTCCCTTAGAAAGGGCACATCCTGTGGAGCCTGGGCTCTTTCTGATCAGTCCCTGCAGCAGGGGCAGGAACTCCTCCCAGGTCAAGCTGAGGCCTGCCTCTGGGTGCGCCTAGGGCGCTTTCTCGGCCTGAGCCTCAGCGCCTGAGGCTCCTGGGAGAGGAGGGGAGCTTGCTGTTGCCGTTACCCCCTGCAGGCTGGCTCCTCAGGCTGGCAGAGAGAGGCTGGGGGCAGGGAGGGTCCCCCGGGTAAAGGTGCCCGTGATGAGCTGCCGCGCTAGCACATCTGTGCAAATATCACCAATTACTTTCCTCACTATAAACACCCAGCAGGAAGGCAGGGAAGCAGCCAACCCAAACTGTTCAAAATAGAAAGCGAAATTGCCGCACGGGGAAGTCGGGGCAGCAGGCAGAGAAGGGGCCCTGCACCAAGAATCCGGGGTCTCCCTCCCCACCAGCTGCCCTTCAGCTGCACCTGCTCCTGCCGCCCCCACCCTGCAACTCCACCTCAACTTTCTCCTCTGCCAGACAGGCAAAACCAAGGGGAAAGGTCCCTGTCTGGGGGATGGGGGGGTATGGGTGAGGATGGGGGCCACGGGGGGAGGGAAGAGGGCTGAGGAAGGCGGCCACAGAGGACCCAGCGCTGCCTGGCTATGGAGCCACAGTGCTGTGTGGAAAGAGCGGGGAGGGGTGGGGGGTGGCGCGGAGGAGAGGAAGCCTCCCTTCCTTGTGACCACGGGCCTTGGGAGGCTGGGCCAAGTGGAAACAGTGACCTGCCACCCACTCTGAGTGAAAGGAATTTTTCTGACGGCGGAAATGGCCAGAAAGCCGCTCCTGGGCCCCAGCAGCCTTTCCCGTCCCTCCCTCCACACACAGGCCTGACAGAGAGCAGGTCTCTCGTGCAGTCACACGGTGGCCAAAATGCTGAACCGTTTCCATGCCGGTTGATACATATGCCCTGCCCCAAGCCCCCCACATGGTTCCCTTTTCTGACTCCCTGAGCCCTCCCCCAGGACCCCGCAGCTGGTTCCCCAGGAATAAAGGGTTAACAGCTGACACAGCAGCCCCCTCCCCCAAATGCATTGGTCCATGCCTGGGCTCCCCTGACTGTTAAATGTCTCTCAATGTGCCCCTGCGCCCCTCTTGTCCCTGCCCACCTCCCAGGGAGGGGGCTCTAGGCAAACCCACCACCCCTCAGCGTTAACACTTATGTCCCTGCTGCTTTCCAGAGTCTCCGGGCCACCCAGGTGATAGGAGGGGGTATGCTGAGGCAGGGATGGGCCACCAAGTTGTCAAGGATACAAATGTCACAACAGGAAAGGACCTAGTCACAGTCCCTCAGGCTACCAATGAGACAACTGAGGCCTAGAGAGGGAGGTGAGTTGCCCAGTCACCCAGCAATTTGTAAGCCGAGCCCAGGCCTTGCCTCCCAGGCCCTGCGATCGCTGAGCGAGGACGGTGATTGTCTGCTTGCCGTGGAAACACAGAAAACCCAGGGATGACCGCTGCTGCCCTGTGAATATTAACACACTTGCTTCCTTCAGCCTTCCCTCCCAGGCTGTTTCCTGCTTCAAAGGCTTCCCTCCCTAGGGCTGACACCTCGGTCCTTCTATTTTGGTGGAATGGCAGGGGTAGGGCGGGAAGATGACAGTCTTGTCCAGCCCTGCCTGCCCCAGGCTCACAGCAGACACCCTACCCCCCCCCCCCCACCCCGTGCTTTCACATCCTCTCTGCAACAAGGGGAGGCCGCACTCTCAGGGGTGGGGAGTGCCCCACAGAGACACTCAGATGTTCTGAACCAAAATAAAAGGTGCTCCTGCCACCCATCTGCATTTCCAACCTACATCCCTTGAACCTCTCTCCCTCTAAAGAGCCAGGCTTCAAAGCCACTTCTAGCTCCGTGAGGAAACAAGAAAGAAATTCCCAGTGCACAAGGCGCCAGAGAGGCGGCCAGGATGGGGACAGAGGGGACAGCAGACATGTGTGTAACGGCGGGCAGGGCCCAGATGAAGCGGCAACGGGCAGGCTACGTTGACAGAGCACCCTCAATGCTCGCGGCCATAGTGTTTCTGTCCCCATTTTACATACAGAGGAACTGAGGCCAGGAAAGCCCTCTTTTGTCCTGGTTCCACAGCTCAGTGAATGGTACCAGGACCTCTGGGAGACTTGTGTCTCCAC